AGGAAGAGACAGATAGAAGAGACTGTTTTTGTTGGCTTTTTAAATAAAAATCTAGCCAAAGATGTATTGATTTCCCTTTTGTTTTAGGCTCTGCAGTATCTGACCAATTAACATGCAGTGACATTCACAAAACAAGCATAAAAATGAGAAAATCCAAGGCAAAGTAAAGGCAGGGAATTACACTTCTCAATGCCTCCTGCAATTTCTTTCAATAGTTTAATGCATCTAAGATGTGACTTAGTTATAAGATCTTTACTATTTGTGAAGAAGACTTAATCACAAGCAGCCTGTGCCACATCCTGCCCTTGGGTGAACAGGAACAGAATCACCAGGATTGTAAGCAAGCATCTAAATGATCTGTGGTATATTATGTGAAAAAAAATGTATTTTATTATTCCTACGGAAGAATAAACTTCACTTAAATGTATTTCAGGTAACTTAAAATCCTTTGTCTGAATTTTCCTTCTATTCTTACTGAAGCAGCAAAGCAGTCTGTTGTCTGATGTGCACAGAACCTTGCAAAAATGGAACTTCCTCTACAACACCCCCATTTTTATCATTCCACTATTTCGTAATATTAAATGTTTCCATACCTTCATACTGCTTCCAGTGAACTTGCAAAGCCACACCACTTTTCATGTAATGACTCTGGCCTGGAACATTGCCTCCCAACCCCTGCAGACCCCTGCAAATCTCCATGGAAGATCAGAAGGCACAGCTGTAGGTGACCTGGAACACCTCTGGGGATGGAGCACCCACAGCTTGTTTGGCAGGCTGCTCCAGTGCCTCACCGCCCTCTGGAAAACTTTCCCCTTAATATCTGATCTAAATCTCCCCTCCTTCTGCTGAAAACCGTTCCACTTGCCCTATCACTGTCAAACCCTGTGCATACAGTAGATTGAGCCCAGCACAACAATTCCAGTATTTGTATGCCCTGCTGGGAAGGTGACACCTTGAGAGCTGTTTGCTGTTTCCCAGGCAGCCTCACAACACGGCATTTGCTCGCGGTGCGTCCTTGCCGTGTGTGAGATGCCGCCCCACGAATACAGCAGTGCCACAGTGTCACCTAGCGGGAAGCTCTGTGTGCTGCTCATTCGCAAAGCACCAACAAATAATGTGATAAATAATAAAAAGCTAAGTTGGCGTGCACTTCTTAACTGTATTCTGACATTCCAGATCGCAGCCCACTGCATTCCTGCTATGGGTCTTTTATTTCCTTTACTTCGCTAAAAAACAGGTGATAGTTTAGAGTAGAACAAGAGCAGGACTAGTGGTCTGCAATGAACAGAGGTGAAATAGCAAATGCAGAAGTGGAAAATAGAAATGAACCCACTTTCAGAGCTAAAATTGCACTCTTATTCATGCATAGTGCCTATCTTTCATTCAAGACCAAAATAATGAACAACTTTTTTTTTTTTCTAGCTGTGCTTAAAGCTCTATTCTCTGTAAACTACATCCTCTGTGGTTATTTCTCTACCATGTACATTGATTATTATTTTTTAATAGCAATATGCAGAAAGATGATCTTTCATTTACTGTTTTTACACAGAGGTTAATTGCAAGGCAGCACAGGGAAGTATGATGCATGATTACATTACTGGATCAACACGATGGTAGGTGGACAGGGGTCTTTGTTTGCTTTTACTTTCAGTCACAAACTTTCCACATCCTATTCTTCAGCTCTATTGAATAACAAAATTATTTTGAAACTCACAACTCTGTTTTGCCCCTCTGGCCAATACTGTCCTCAGACTCAGTATTGCACAGACAGTGAAGGTTGAAAATCAGCATTAGGTCTTACTCAAGTCAGACAGAAGTGTACTTCTGTAAGCAGCAGCAAGGTAAGAACCTGTGAAGCTATCGGACACAGTGGTCGCTTAAATCCACTGTTAAGTACTGCTGGAGTCCACCAGGTGGACTCTGCACCCTTCCAGCAGCAGCAGCTTACTGCCCGCACTTAGCTCGCGTGAGTCATGGATGAACAAGAGGCTGCTGAGCTCTGAATTCTCGGCAAAAATAAACCAGATTCTTTATGCTTTGTAGGAGAGGAGCTGACAAACTTGCGGTATCTGAGAAGCCAAAAGGATAGAATCAATCTTAAACTAGCTCAAAGTGGGAGGATAAATAAGATGCAGACATAAAGATCTGTTTTGCTCTGATGATCTCCAACTTTCCTATTCCGTCTCCCCTTCTCTTTTTTTCTTAGGGGAGAAGAAAACAAAGAAACTTGTGTAGCAGGAAAGCTAATATGCAAAATCATATGACTGAGTAAGTGATCTATCTGCCTCGCAACAAAATGACCAATACAACTTGGGTGCATACAACTTCTGGAAGGAAAAAAAATGAGTGATAAACCATCGGTATCTGGGACACCTACTAAGGCTCAATGATCATATTGGGGTCATTTCAGTTCCCCTTTGCAATAAATCTCTCCTACTAAGCATGGCCCAATCACAGTCATGAATAGCCTGATTGTGCCCAGCTGCTTTGTAATGGCAGTGACAGAAGCACACACTTACCAAAAGAGCGAGTTGTCCTTCCTACCCACCACTTGAATCAAGATAGGATGGCTTCAGTTATACGTGTATAATTATATCAATAAAAGTAATAAAGATCTGTTTCAGCATACAAAACACCAGAAAAATCTGGCATTTTGAAAGATACTAAATATATATATATGTATATGAAAGTAACATTTGGAAACACAGAATGCAAGGAAAGAAAACATAACGTGCGGGTTTTTTTCTTATTTTCAAACTCGCTTAAAAAGAGAACTCCGCTCAGGTTTCGTCGCCCCTTCCCTCTCTCCTAAAGCTTTCAGCTGGGCGCTACCAGCGGGCTGCCGGCAGCTCTGGAGGCGGTCCAAGCCCGGCCTGCGCTGGCAGGGCGGCCCCGCGGCACGGCCCCGAGGTGCGGGACGAGGCGGGCCGAGCGCTGCCGGAGCGCAGTCATGTGATGGAGCGAAGATGGCTGCCGGGGAGCCGTGCGCTGCCGCGGGGATGAAGGAAGACTTTGAGATCATTGACAAAACGCAGGTGCCTGACACAGCCGAGCTGAAAAACGTGGAAAAAGAAAAGGAGGAAGCGAAGTGGTCCGCTCCCATCTTATCGCTGGCAAAGAAAGCCTCCGAAAACCTGGCGCTGAGCTATGGCAGCGCTCTGAAGTCTGCGGCTTCGGTAGGACTCATATCCAAAGCAGTCAGCAATGACAGCACAGCAAAAACAAGTATGGCTATGTCTATTTAGTAAACTTGCTTTTTATGCGGTACAAATAAGTTTAGTTCCCGTAAGTGGCGTTAAGTAGTGTGATGCTTTATTATTACTTTGAATTTAGGGTGTTTTGTTTTGTTTTTAATGTAATGCTGCGCTTGTTTCTTTAAGCAAGAGCACGCAGGCAGCACGGGAAAAGTTAACAAACTATAACCAGAAGAGCCCTAAGCTCTTGTAGCTCTTGTCAGCATCCTTAGATTCACTTGTATTTGTGGTTCAGGTGGCTTTTCTTGATTCCCTTTCTGCCTGAAGTTGTGCTGAGCAGCAGCCTGCTGGCGGGGTGCCTTCCTGGGAGGGAATGACGCTGCTTCCTGCACGGCTCACACGTCAGACAGCGGGCAGCTGGACTAAGGAATGGGTTGCTTACAAACTAATTGCTAACTGTGCTGAAAAACATCTCGTTTAATCACAGCTTGCTTTATTAAGCATTGCGTTCATGGGTGTAGTAACATGGGATTTATGGAAGAGCTCTCTTAAGACTGAATTAAGTGGGATCTTTATGGAAATTAAATCTCAGTAATATTTACAATACAGGAAACAAACCCATTCAAATGCAGTAGTACATGAGCACATTGGGCTGCAAGCTCCCAAGCTGGTGTCTGATGGCTCTGGGCAGCAGAGCTCAGTTATGCTGGCTGGTTATAATCTTTTTGTTTTGAATATTACGTATTCAAGCTGCATTCCTGAGGATGAATCGTAACTGCATGGTGGAATAAGGCTGATAGAATATTTCTTGTGTGAAAATTCCTCAGTGATGCATAGTCAGAGGTCAAGATTTCCTGTCCAGAAAGCAGCCTCCATTCTTATCTCTTTCTGCATCCACAGAACTCACACCAAACTTCTCAACTGGGGTGATCCAGTGTCTGTTCACATTTCATACCTGTTCTACCCTCCTATATAAAGCACTTCCCTGTTAACTTTGACCAAGCATCGTTTGATTTAAATGAGGTCTTTTTTAGAAATAACTTGTGGCCTGCAAGTGTATTTGTGGAAAAGTAACAAGTTGTTCCCTGCTGCCATCTTTTTGTATGAATTTTATTTAACTTCCCCCTACTTCAGATCTGGTGATCACGTGTAGATTCTGCTACACGCTGTGTGGTCAGCTGGACAAAGGAGGGAAAGGCACATCATAAACCCATTTTCTGTCACTGAAGAAACTGTTCTGCCTGGCTGGAAAGGCAGGAAATGCAAATTTAAAGAATGCAAATCAAGAAAGACTGTCTTAAAGACCAAAAGATGGAGAACTGTCACCTTTTCTTTATGCTATTCTCCTACTGTGTGTAGAACAGTGTATGGTAAACAAAGCATGGAGCTTCAAAGTGATGTTAAAATCAGCCGAACTGAGTCAGACACTACAATAACATGTTTTTAAAGATTGCATATCTGGGATCTTTTGCACTTACGTAATTCAGTTTGTGAGCTTTGAGGGTGGACTTGGATAATTTGCTAACACCTGGCTACTCTGCATGTACCAACTGGTACGTAGTTTTGCTAAAGGTGTGTGTGACTGTAGATTTCCAACAGACTAAGCGATTGTTTGTTACTTAAACTGAATACAAATCATCAACAGTGCTGTTTAGTTGAAATTCGTGTTCATAAAGAACACTTCATTCACAGTATTCATTTTTTAAGTCTTCTAGATAATATATATAGTGTTACAGTGTTTTATATATATATATATAGTGTTTTATATATATTTATATATATATATATACATATATATATATATATATATATGCATCTCTTCAGAAAGGCTTACAAGCAAAATATCCCTGATAAGTGAAAGTTCAAGATCAGAAAACAGCATAACAATATATATTCAGTTGCTACTGAACACCTCAATATCTAAACAAAGCCACAGATTTCTTATGTCTAGTCAGGCTTTTTTCTCTGTCCTTAATGTCCAACCTGACATTAAAACCCAAAATGCTACAGCCCTCATGATCCTCAGTCTCAGGCATTATGAGCAACTTTGGTACTGATATGGCAGAGCTAGGCTGCTGGGAGGACAGGACTTCATGTGCTGTGATTTGCTGAAATAATTTGGTTAGGATAACTTTGATAACACTCTTCTCACAGGGAAAAGTTACACTCGATTTTAACTCTACATTACTATTCTGTGCACGAGAACATCACGATGAGAACTACTACTCAAACGGACTTCTGTGCGGTGTTGCTAACAGCCCTCACCCTCTTCCACGTGACTGACGGGGTTGTACCTTTTAGACTCACTCGTAGTAACTCGCATTCCCGCAGGCGACCAGGCCGCCCCCACAGCGCAGAGGCGGCAGGCTTCTTAGCGCAGCGCGCTCGGCCCAAAGCAAACGTAGTCGGCCGTGGGCCTGCGCTGACTGAAGCGGTAGCTCACCGTCGCGGGGTTTTGGTTGGTTGCTGTGGATTTGTTTTTGTTGGCGATGGGTTTTGCTTGTTTTCTGCCTCGCCCCGCATTCAGGTTACCGCGCTCAGGTCAAGGTGAGGAGCGCCTCCCGCCCTCAGAGGCGGCGCTGTGCGCGCGCGGGACGCCCTGCTCGCAGAACGAACTATTTCTAAAATGGCGCCCGGCGCGCGCGGGCCACGCTCAATCTCGCGAGAGTTCAGGGTTGTTGGGGGCTGCTGTTGCCGTGGTAACTCGGGAGCACGGGGCCTGGTCTGAAGCGCCCCCAGTTGGGGCCGGGCGGCGGGGGGCGCCGCTCTGCGAGGGGCGGCGGGAGCGCGTTTCTTAAACCGGCTTTTCTGTTTTTGCCCCTCCCCGCCGCACAGCCGCGAGGCACCACGCCATGGAGGAGCGCGCCAACCTCATGAACATGATGAAGCTGAGCATCAAAACCCTGATCCAGTCGGCCCTGAGCCTGGGCCGCACTCTGGACTCCGACTTCCCTCCTCTGCAGCAGTTCTTCGTGGTGCTGGAGCACTGCCTGAAGCACGGCCTGAAAGGTGGGCTTGTGCGGCCGTGCGCTGAGGGGAGGCCCGCAGTGACACTGGTTGCGCTGTGCCCGGCCGTGCCTGCTGTGGGCTGTGTAGGGCTCTGCCGGCTGTCCGAGCGCCCTGTGGCTGTTTGTCCTCTCAGCTGTCCGCTTGTGAGAGATGCGGGTGTGTGGTTGTGGAATGGCGGCTGGGAGGCTGTCGGTTCTCATCACGAACTTCTCTGTGTGCTCCCTGTAGCGAAGAAGACCTTTATTGGACAGAACAAATCGTTCTTTGGTCCTTTGGAGCTGGTGGAAAAGCTTTGTCCTGAAGCATCAGATATAGCGACTAGTGTCAAAAATCTGCCAGAGCTGAAGTAAGTTCCTTGTTGGGAATTACGTGTTTTGCTCACTCTGCTGGGAAATGCAATCCTTCGGGTGGTTTCTTAGCTTCATTAATGAGATCTCGTTCCAAAGAGACAAACAGGGTATGTAGGAGGCGTTGAGTGCTCCCAGAGATAAGGAGGCTGTCTCAAAATATTCCGCTCTTCTCTTTCAAATAGTGCACTCAAAAACAACATTGCAAAATTTCTGTAAGCGTGCTGTAGGATCTTCACAGGTGGTTCTTTCCCCTTGCTCCCATCGCTTTTATGGCTTTGTCTAACTTTGTGTGCATGTACATTTCATTTGAGGCCTCAGGATAATGAAGAGACTAGTTTTATTCCCAGAATGTATGAACGGTTGGGTTCTGGTGTCAGCTGAAGATATGTAGGGCTTTCTGATTCAGAAAGATGTTACAGTACACTTTCCTGACACTGAAACATCGGAATGTAATCAAATCCTTCTCTTGCTCTGGCCAAAAAAATATTTCCTTTGAGATTTAATTAATTTAATAAATAAGTGCCTTCATCTCCCTTTGTAAAGAGGGAATTTTCAATTGCACAGCTCTATTTAAACATTTTTGCTTTACCATAACCTTAATGTTTCATTTTAGGACTGCTGTAGGAAGAGGAAGGGCTTGGCTTTATCTGGCACTCATGCAAAAGAAACTGGCGGATTATCTTAAAGTGCTTTTGGACCATAAACATCTATTGAGGTAACAACACCAATACCTTGCATTCACTGAATCCTTGCATAGCTGTAGAAAAAAGTCATTAATTGTCCCATTTAACTTTGGGTTGTTCTTGCATTCTGCAAGGCAATAAGTTGTTCATTGTTCTTGCAGTGAACTTAGGGTCAGGAGAATTTTCTGTTTTGCATCTTCTGCCTCGTGCACTGCCTTAGCAGGGGGAGGCTGGTCAGCTGAGCTTTAAAAGCACAACATTACTGCTTATGTTATTTTAGTGATAGAGGTACCATTGTAATTATGATGTTCAGTGATGCCTTATCTTATTTCTTCTAGTGAATTTTATGAACCTGATGCACTGATGATGGAGGAGGAGGGAGCAGTCATTGTGGGTCTCTTAGTTGGACTGAATGTCATCGATGCCAACCTTTGCTTGAAAGGAGAAGACTTGGATTCTCAGGTGAAGATTGTTTAAATATGATCAGTCCTTAAAATAATTGAGTTGAATTAAGCACTTTGATAAATACTTTACAGAGATGAGCCTAGAATTCCTAAATCTGTTATGTAGATAGGGATTGTCATTGCTTTTGTAAGTGGACGTTTGAATTCCTTGCATAAGAAACCAAACTTTAGATGAAGTGTGCTAAACACATGAGACACGTTGCAGTCAGTCTGCTAAGGCCTTGTGGGGTCTTTTGTTTTGAGGGTGAGTGGAGCTTTTCCTTAGGTTGGGGGAGGGAGAGTGGCAGGAATGTCCCGCATAGAAGCTGGTCATGTTTCCATACTGACAAGTATGAAAGTATCCATCTCCTTCAGTAGCAGCTTATGGAAATGCTGTCAAAAACAATAACTTCAGGGAAACTGAGTGCACCCAGTGTGGTGGTTTTGATGCTGACAGATACTGGCCTGGAGGTTTGCTTTGGTTGTGAAGGACATAGGCATGATCTGTCTTCCCAAATCCGAACATTTAGATTTTTACTTTTTTTTCCAAATATAGAGAAATGCCTTCTGCTACTCAGAATTGTGTTGTGAAAGCATGGTAATCTCTTAAATATGTTTTTCAGGTTGGAGTGATTGATTTTTCTCTGTACCTTAAGGAAACACAAGACAGTGATGGCAAACAGTATGTATGGTGGATGAGTGATTCTAAATTGTTTGGGTTTTGTGTTTTGTTATTTTTTAAGGACAAGCCCATCTGTCAGTCTGTAGGAGCACATCAGTGCTAGAGATATCAAGCTCTCTTATTAACTGAAAAAAGAGAATCCTAAATAGATTTACTAGCTAAACAGAAGTACAACAATAGTTGATCCTGTGGCAACTTAAACAATGTGGTGAGGAGAGTCTGTCCCAAGCCAGCACCAAACTAATGACACTCAAAATGTGAACAAAATGTGAACTTAGCCTCTGCTAAGTCACTGCTTGATTTCTGAGCACCAGCTCAGTGCCATGCTCAGTGAAGGAGCTGTTTCTGTGGGAGATACCAGTTATGGAGAAGTATTTTTACTGGAAGTGTTAAGTGATGATGTTACTGCTTCCTGACCTTGCTCAAACACATTTCTATCACAAAAAAAGATATGCAAGTGCATGTTGACAACCTCTGTACAAATTAACACTTTCAAATGGAGAGAAGTTTCTTCTCAATCAATACATTCTTGCTTTACAATTAGAGATGGAGGCATTACTGCTGTCCTTGACCAGAAGCATTATGTGGAAGAGCTGAACCGGCACCTAAGGTAGGACTTTCTGCTGTTCTGAGGCACAACCACTTTCCCTTACAGCTTTAAATGTCTTTGCTGTCATTCTTGCGACTTTTGTCTGATTATAAACTGTCTTTTTTGATTCTCTGCTGAAAACTTAGTTTCATGTTGCAATCTTAGTCTTGTTATGGCAGATGCTAGCAAAAAACAAGTTCTGTAGTAATAGTTGACTGTTCCGAAACTTGCTAGTGGTCAACAGAGGATTTTGCAGATGGATTTGTGACAGTTCTCCCTTGAACAAACATCTCAAAGTCCATCCTTTAGATGGAGATGTGTTCTTATGTAGCTGCTCAGTGCTGGTAGCTGGCTTCGTTTAACCTCTGCAGTATCAAAGAGGTGTTAAGACTAAAAGCTAACCCAAAACAGCTGTCATAATGAACAAAAGTCATTGTTAGCAAATACCAGATGATGGAAGTATGGTTGTAAACAGGAATAAACGTTGAACATTGGCACTTGTATTGTTTTCATGCATTATTTTTTTCTCAACACAGTTGCACAGTCACAGATCTTCAGAACAAAATAGACTGCTTAGAAAAGACCAACTCAAAGCTGCAGGAAGAGGTTTGTGTCTGGCTATTAAGTGTTTCTTAGCTTTCTTCTGTCAGAGACAAAACACCCAAAGAATTCACCACACACTTGGACTGAGTTGATAATAGTGAAGTATGAAGGATTTCCTTAATCAAGGTCTTTTTCGTGCAGCGATGTCTCCACCCCAAATTAATCATATCACTAAAGAACACGATTTGTCTCGCTCTGCTCACACACCTTTATACATATCTCTCGTGTGAGTTAGAATGGAAATCGGGTAAAAATAAAAGAATAAAGATCACTTTGGGAATCTTTCCTAGTTGGGAACCACAATAAAAGCCATCAGTACATGTGACGAAGGCTGAGGGGATTTTTTTGCTTGGTTGGTATTTGTTTTGTTTGTTTTCAGGTAATGGTTGTTTTATTGTTCATATTACATGCACTACATGCCTACAGTCTGAACTGATATAATTCAGCATCCAGTGCCTTTTGGGGAATCTCCACTTGAAACTGCCATAACGTTCCAGCAGCTCCATGGCTGCCTTGTGCCTTGTTTTGGGTACCAGGAAGAACACTGCACATAAAGACCTGGGGTTGTGTTTGGCTTTTTGTGCTGTGACTCAAAAATAAGTGATGAGGGCATGGAGCACACTAATAAATGTTGTGGCCTTGTTGAGGCTGTAGGGTGAGTATAGCTGCAAAATGGCCATATATGGCACGGCGTGGCATATATATGGCACTGGCTTGCCGTGCTGTACCGTGCTGTGCCCTATGCCATATATGGCATGGCATGGCATATATGGCTTAGGGCACAGCATGGTATGGCACTATATGGCATGGCATCCGAGCTCCCAAACCATAGGGCAGCACTGCAAAAAAACAAAGACTAGCCGACATGACGTGCCCTTGCTTGATATTCAAAGGTGGACCTGCCAGAGTTGCAGCTAAAGTAAAAGTCTATTCAAATTAGCAATCAGCACATATGACTACTCTTCCATTTCCCTTCCATGCACTGAAATAGGAGCTCCAGCCTCCCTGCACATAAACAGCAAACACACACTCGGCATCTGATACCAAAGAAGGCTCCCAACACCATGAAAAGAACAGGGAGAAGGTACTGCAGAGAGGGAGCTGCCATCTTTGCTTGCATCTGTGAGTGTTTGGCAAGGCACATATGGAGGATTCTTTTCTCCGCCTCATTTTTGGCCATGGAAATGCAGGAATTGGGGAAAAGCAGCAGTTCTGCCTGGGGCTGCTCAGGACAACCCAGTGACCTCAAATGTATGGTTCCTCCCCCCAGACACAGGTGCTGGGGAGCCAAATGTGTCTGAAAAATAAGCAGGAAACAACAGTGGCACAGGAACACCTGAGAGTTCTCCTTTCCTTCTCCAAGGAAGATATTTTTTGGCTCTGTGCAGGACAAATCCTGAGCATTTCCATTTTCTCTTTTCCTATTCAGTCCTAACACAGTGAGGATCTGGGGGGCTTTGTTGCACTTATTTCCTGGTACTGAACAGAAACACTTCTGCAAGCAGCAAAGAAAGAACAACAGCAGAGCAGCATTGTGCATAAGATCTCCTAAATACACCCACGGACCAGTGATAGCAAGCCAGAACAAAGGTCTTCACTGTCTCCTTCTGCCCCACCAACGAGAAGGAAAGCAGAAACAGCTCTGAAGAAACCACAGGAGAATACTTTCTCTTTCAACCCACGCTACGCAGTAGCTATCAGGCACTTGGGGCTTCCACAGGGACACACAGCCATTCCTCTGCATTAGGAAGCCACATGTCCAACCTTCACTGCCTGATCCTGCTCTGGGTGTCAGTGGATGTGCTAACTGCCAGCTTCCCTGCATGAGGAGCTGCTTTCCCCAGACTCCTGCTGCTGAACTCCCAGGGCTTCTGTCATCTCCTCAGTACAAGTGCAGGAAAATGAGGGAGAAAACCTCTACATCCAACCCACTGCATTCAACTCAACCCATTGTACTCAACTCAGCCTCTTGCATCCAACATGCAGCATCCTCAGCATCAAAAAAAATTAAAATAGAATAAAATACAAAGCCTCAGGGAAGCAAAAGTCTGAGCAGGTGGAAGAGCAGAAGTCTCAGAGGTGATGGTGACACAAACCTGAAAGGGAGTTGTAGCCTTTTGGTCACTATGGTCATTCCTGAGCTCCAGGCATAGAGGAACACAAGGAACAGCAGTGCTGATGTGAGAGGGGCAGCAACCAACCCCCATGAGGGTACAGAGGGCTCTCCTCATACCCAGAAGACCCTGCAGGAGAGGTGCTGAGCTCACGACCCCCTCCCCCATGCTGTGCTCCCATTCCCATCTGCAAAGCAGAGACCCACACATCACAAGACATGCTCACACAGGTGTGAGGACACCACTCGTGCCCAGCAGACAGGGAAGAGGAGGTCTGCAGATAGCAAAATTATTACTTTTTTCCTTCTTTTAAAATCAGGTTAATTATTTATTCATCCACAAAACACAGGTTATTGTTTGCTAAACAAATCTGTGCACCAGTCTGTGTGCATTGCTCCTTATGTGCCAAGCACCCTGCTTCAAAACAAGCCCCGTCTCCCTCCATTCCTCACTCCATCACTGCTCCCTCGAAGAGCCCTGTCCCATCACCAGCACCAGAAGAACAGAACTCCCAGCTGGGGACAAGGAGAGCGCTGCTTTCCACTCCCACAGCTCTGCTGCATGAAATGATTTCAAAAACAAATTCAGGAGCAGCGGCACGAGGAGCCCAGGCATAAAACTAAAGCCTCACAGGGTTTTGTTATCACAACACCACACTGTTAAGTGTCCTAAGCAATCTTTTTTTAAGGAAAACAAGTCTTTAGAAACAGAGGTGACCCCAGAAGTGATAAGTGAAGAGGTGCACCTGAAAGTCTGTTATCAGCTATTTGTGCCTGGCTCTGCCTCAGATATGGCACGGCGTGGCATATATATGGCACTGGCTTGCCGTGCTGTACCGTGCTGTGCCCTATGCCATATATGGCATGGCATGGCATATATGGCTTAGGGCACAGCATGGTATGGCACTATATGGCATGGCATCCGAGCTCCCAAACCATAGGGCAGCACTGCAAAAAAACAAAGACTAGCCGACATGACGTGCCCTTGCTTGATATTCAAAGGTGGACCTGCCAGAGTTGCAGCTAAAGTAAAAGTCTATTCAAATTAGCAATCAGCACATATGACTACTCTTCCATTTCCCTTCCATGCACTGAAATAGGAGCTCCAGCCTCCCTGCACATAAACAGCAAACACACACTCGGCATCTGATACCAAAGAAGGCTCCCAACACCATGAAAAGAACAGGGAGAAGGTACTGCAGAGAGGGAGCTGCCATCTTTGCTTGCATCTGTGAGTGTTTGGCAAGGCACATATGGAGGATTCTTTTCTCCGCCTCATTTTTGGCCATGGAAATGCAGGAATTGGGGAAAAGCAGCAGTTCTGCCTGGGGCTGCTCAGGACAACCCAGTGACCTCAAATGTATGGTTCCTCCCCCCAGACACAGGTGCTGGGGAGCCAAATGTGTCTGAAAAATAAGCAGGAAACAACAGTGGCACAGGAACACCTGAGAGTTCTCCTTTCCTTCTCCAAGGAAGATATTTTTTGGCTCTGTGCAGGACAAATCCTGAGCATTTCCATTTTCTCTTTTCCTATTCAGTCCTAACACAGTGAGGATCTGGGGGGCTTTGTTGCACTTATTTCCTGGTACTGAACAGAAACACTTCTGCAAGCAGCAAAGAAAGAACAACAGCAGAGCAGCATTGTGCATAAGATCTCCTAAATACACCCACGGACCAGTGATAGCAAGCCAGAACAAAGGTCTTCACTGTCTCCTTCTGCCCCACCAACGAGAAGGAAAGCAGAAACAGCTCTGAAGAAACCACAGGAGAATACTTTCTCTTTCAACCCACGCTACGCAGTAGCTATCAGGCACTTGGGGCTTCCACAGGGACACACAGCCATTCCTCTGCATTAGGAAGCCACATGTCCAACCTTCACTGCCTGATCCTGCTCTGGGTGTCAGTGGATGTGCTAACTGCCAGCTTCCCTGCATGAGGAGCTGCTTTCCCCAGACTCCTGCTGCTGAACTCCCAGGGCTTCTGTCATCTCCTCAGTACAAGTGCAGGAAAATGAGGGAGAAAACCTCTACATCCAACCCACTGCATTCAACTCAACCCATTGTACTCAACTCAGCCTCTTGCATCCAACATGCAGCATCCTCAGCATCAAAAAAAATTAAAATAGAATAAAATACAAAGCCTCAGGGAAGCAAAAGTCTGAGCAGGTGGAAGAGCAGAAGTCTCAGAGGTGATGGTGACACAAACCTGAAAGGGAGTTGTAGCCTTTTGGTCACTATGGTCATTCCTGAGCTCCAGGCATAGAGGAACACAAGGAACAGCAGTGCTGATGTGAGAGGGGCAGCAACCAACCCCCATGAGGGTACAGAGGGCTCTCCTCATACCCAGAAGACCCTGCAGGAGAGGTGCTGAGCTCACGACCCCCTCCCCCATGCTGTGCTCCCATTCCCATCTGCAAAGCAGAGACCCACACATCACAAGACATGCTCACACAGGTGTGAGGACACCACTCGTGCCCAGCAGACAGGGAAGAGGAGGTCTGCAGATAGCAAAATTATTACTTTTTTCCTTCTTTTAAAATCAGGTTAATTATTTATTCATCCACAAAACACAGGTTATTGTTTGCTAAACAAATCTGTGCACCAGTCTGTGTGCATTGCTCCTTATGTGCCAAGCACCCTGCTTCAAAACAAGCCCCGTCTCCCTCCATTCCTCACTCCATCACTGCTCCCTCGAAGAGCCCTGTCCCATCACCAGCACCAGAAGAACAGAACTCCCAGCTGGGGACAAGGAGAGCGCTGCTTTCCACTCCCACAGCTCTGCTGCATGAAATGATTTCAAAAACAAATTCAGGAGCAGCGGCACGAGGAGCCCAGGCATAAAACTAAAGCCTCACAGGGTTTTGTTATCACAACACCACACTGTTAAGTGTCCTAAGCAATCTTTTTTTAAGGAAAACAAGTCTTTAGAAACAGAGGTGACCCCAGAAGTGATAAGTGAAGAGGTGCACCTGAAAGTCTGTTATCAGCTATTTGTGCCTGGCTCTGCCTCAGATATGGCACGGCGTGGCATATATATGGCACTGGCTTGCCGTGCTGTACCGTGCTGTGCCCTATGCCATATATGGCATGGCATGGCATATATGGCTTAGGGCACAGCATGGTATGGCACTATATGGCATGGCATCCGAGCTCCCAAACCATAGGGCAGCACTGCAAAAAAACAAAGACTAGCCGACATGACGTGCCCTTGCTTGATATTCAAAGGTGGACCTGCCAGAGTTGCAGCTAAAGTAAAAGTCTATTCAAATTAGCAATCAGCACATATGACTACTCTTCCATTTCCCTTCCATGCACTGAAATAGGAGCTCCAGCCTCCCTGCACATAAACAGCAAACACACACTCGGCATCTGATACCAAAGAAGGCTCCCAACACCATGAAAAGAACAGGGAGAAGGTACTGCAGAGAGGGAGCTGCCATCTTTGCTTTGCATCTGTGAGTGTTTGGCAAGGCACATATGGAGGATTCTTTTCTCCGCCTCATTTTTGGCCATGGAAATGCA